CATTATCTTGCCCATGCATCCCACAGCCTTTCTGAGTATTGCCTCACCTTTTCAAAGTGTGGTTCAGCTTCCTTTCTTGGCATATCCATAGACTTCTCTGTGTTTTGAGAAGGCCCTTGCTTTCTTGGTCCTCATTGACGTGTAGTGACTATTTTCTCCACTTACCAAACCTTTCTCTAATTCAGAAAGCCTTTTTTTTTGTGGGAAATACATAAGTTTTGGCTAACAGCAATACCAGTTTTCTTCACCTTTTCAGAGGCATAGGCCTTCAAATACAATAGTATCCATATCATCCTTCCTACTCACTGTCCAACACAATTGCCATCTCATGCATACTCATTTTTTCTTCAACTGAAAAATTTCTTCTTGAATTTTTTTTCAATTCAGGTAGCTTCTGGAGACAACCTTTCTTCCTCCGGCCTTCTGATATATTCACAGCCTTCTAGCACAGACCAGTACAAATGCTCCTGTTATATTTCATTTCCAGTGCAAAGTGCAAGGACAGGCTTGGAGTCTCACCGTGAGCATCCCTTGTTAGGCCAAGAAAGCTCCTATTTGCTGATTTTCCACTGAAATGCTCCAGGCTGTTTAGTTGGGCCCTAGGAGTTAATAGGGCAGTAAGGTTCTCCTGAAATAATAAGAAAATTATTTCAGCTACTCAGGTGTCCCAACTATGCTGCATTTGCATTATTTTTCTGTGCACTCATGCAGTGTCATAAGCCACCAAATGAAGCTAGCTCAACCAACAAGCTCTAATTTCCATCTTATATAAGCACATGTAATGGGTAGTTGCTTTTCATTTCTCCTTCAGCTGCCCCTTTCCTCTCTTTTACACATTCACACCCTTTAAAAAAATTGCAGGGAGTGAATTCCAAGCGCAGGAGAAGCGCCGGCTTAATTTATATAGGGACGAGAATCTGCTAGTTCTGCCCACAGATGGAGCGACAGAGCCCTCAGAAATACAAGCCCTCCTTTGTGCTGCCGGCTGTCAGCATAACTCCGTTGTATCTCCACTGCAGCAAATGTACGGTCGGCGAAAGACATCCAGTCTTCGCCTCCCATTAAAGATGGGCTAGCCGAGATGATAAATTAACTTGCTGACGTGCAGATAGTGCAGCTGAGGACAGATCAGCTTGGCCAGATTACTGGGTTAGCCCTGCCAACAGCTAATTCGCTCAGAAGAAGGTGCACCTAACCCTGCAGACGGATGCAGAACAACTTTCATACTTCTTATTTCCCCTGCCCCCGACAGGTAGTGGTTGGCACTGTTAATCCTATTTGATGTAACTATGGATAGACATGCAAACCTTTAATCCTGCTCAAACCAACTAACCTTTCAGCTGCGCTCAGCTGGAGCTCGAGCTGTAAGCAGGCATTAGCAACTCGCCTTGTTTTACATTCCTCATTTTTCAGTAGAACTGACTGCTCTCCTTGCCTCAAAACGAGAAAGTTTCACTTGCTTTAACTATTATGGCATGTGTTATTCAGGGCACTGCTGCTGGGCTCCCTTTCTATAACAAGCAGCCCCTCATCTAAAGCGTTCAAGAGCCCCCCAGCGTTGTAGGCTTTGACACTGTGTTGATCATCAGCAAGACCCTGGCTCTGAAATGGGAGTCAGTCCTGAAAATGAATGAAACCACAGGCTGACATTCCCAAAGGTTTTAAGAATCCCTCAGTCATGGTTTTCAAACAAAAAAAAAAAAAAGTCAGTGCCTTTTCTGCATCTTAAGTCTTGTTTGCTTGAGCAAGCTTTACAGCATGTCTTGGTTCATTCGTAGCCATGTTTGTTTCTGCTATGTTATTTAGAGGAAAGAAGTTAATCTTTTCATCCTGGGCAACCATGCTTGATTGGTTTGCATTTACAGTCTCCCCTCCCCCCCCATATATATATATATGATATTAGCTGTTATTCTTTTTACAGTAAGAAACTGTCATAATCTGCTGGTATAGCAGAGACGATGAGCCGCTCAGTTACACTAGTTTGTACCTGCCTGAACAAATTTTCTGTTTGCTTTCCATTCACATAGCAGAGGGAGTGATAGGCCATTAACTAGCTTCATGAATCTTATTCACAATAAGCTAGGCCAATTCTAAGCATCAGGGAACTACTCTTCCTCCTCTAAACCGCTTCCCTGGAAAGACTCTACCACATTGATAATACTCCAGAGCTTTTATTTGCGTTTATATTAAAGCTGCTTGCTGCCTCCCACTCCCATTTCCTGCTGCGTGTGGGTGAGAAGTACTGTACGATGGCACCCTCCCTCTTCTCCAGCTCAGCTACCTCCGTTTTCTGCGGAAGGATACTCAGCCAGTGTCGCAGAGCTGGGAAGAGAGCCAAGAGCACGGCGCCCGATGAGCTCAGCCAGCATGCGGCCCTCGCCCCGCAGCAGTGGAAGCCTCCCTGCGCCGCAGCTCACAGCTGCAAGGGAGAGCAATGCGGTCTGACAGGTCTGGTGGTTGCAGGCTGCAGCCTGTGAGCTTCCATCCTGGGAAATGGTGCCTCTGTGCTGGACAGGGGCCAGGTAGAAAGAGCAACTATCGCAGCAATTGAAGCTGCGCCCTCCTTCCTTCCCTCTTCCCCCTCCAGGGGGGCACCAAAGTCTGGTTGCGAGCAACAGAGAGAAGCCACAAGCTGCTCTAAGTCAGCCGCCTCCTGGTATCCCAGCAGGGCTCGAAGTACCAGCACGCTACCTGGCGTGCCCAGCTTACTCGGTACGTGGCAGGAGGCCGTGGGGCCCACCTTCACACAGGCTCCTGCAGATATTAAGGAGCACCTGGGTTTGGGAGAGAGTAACTTGCTGGTGTTCCCTGGCCCAACGTAGCTATGAACTAGGTCATAATACAGACAGTAGGGAGTGTAAGAAGATGCTTAAATAGTTTTAGCTCTTGACCAGGCAAACGCAACAGGCTGGCACCTATTCACCTCTCTGGCTTGAGGACATCCCCCTCAGGTGCCAACTCCTGCCCTTACCTACCCAATGTGTGGGTGACACTGCTGTTCTCCCTTCAGAGGAGCTCCAGTTTTATTACAGAGGGGGAAAAATGCCAGATCTTGGTCCCTGCAAAACACTGGTTTATCTAGAGCCATTCTTTCACATCTGCTTGCTTTTCCTTCCTCCTGCAATATAAACTTTAATTTATTTGAGGATGCTGTTGGCTGTACAACTAAGTTTGATTTCAGCTGGCAAAATCCAGTTTGGCAGGTAACTTTACTCTCTCAAACAATACAAGGCTTCATGGCATATAGTCACAAGTACATTGATCACTTGTGTTGGCAGTAATAATCTTTCCAACTAGTAATGAGCGCTCCCATCCAACCTGAAATCTGCACAAATCTGGGTGCTATTACCCTTGGGGAAAAGGGTGGGGGTGGGGGGGGAAAGCATCTTTAAAGTTCCTCCTTAACTTTGAAAGAATAGCTTTCCTATTTCTTATATTTGCAAGCAAATAGAGAGTACAAAGAGAGTGAACCACCCCTAGTGCTCCTTTCTGGAACAAAGGATGGTTTTGCTTTCCTCAATCTGCAAGAAGAAGGGCCCAGAAACTGAACAATCACAGAAGCCGGGGTGTGTAGGAAGGACTGGTAGAGGACATGCAGGGAGTGACACAGAGGACCTACAGGGTCAAAGCAACTGCAAAGCACTGAAGGTGGGGGCATCATAAAAAAAGCACCACCTCAGCAATTTGTTTCAAGAGTCGATTGATCGGTGGCATGGCAAGCCTTTGCACACTGCTAACATACTTCATGACAACTTCACACGCAGCTGCATGTGTTAGACTAGGCTATACAGATTGCAGCAGAGCACAGAGGCTTTAAAGACATGTGGTACATATACATTTTGCTCAACTACTTCTTCAAACGATTTGTTCTTTTTAAAAAGCAGGCAGTCATTCTCTTCCATTTTGCACATCTCTCTCCATTTTGGAAGCAGGAACAAACTCAAAAATAAAGGAATCAGCCCTTGCACTATTCTGCTCTTTACCACTTTTGGCTGCAGATAGTTGAACTGATCCTATTAAACAAAATCCCCTACCACATCCTATTAAATGATTTCCAGTGCACGCACTTCAGTCTGTCCACTATTTCTCCTGTCTGGACCTCGTACATCTGGGTTAACTTCCACCATGCAGACAAGACAGAAACAATACAGCAGAGGAGACACAGAATTAAGAGGACACCAGGGATTATAATCAGAGAGCAGGGAAGAGATATTGAATTCCTTCCTGTGCTTGTATTTTAGCAGCTGCAGCACAGCCAAACTACTTGCAAGTAACTCATGAGCCACACTAACCGAGGCTTGGTATAGTCCTTCTCCATACCCCTTTATTTCAAGGGAACACAGTTCCCCTTTTGTTAGGCAAGGGGCAGAAAGGGCAGTGGTTGGAACTCCCTAGAAGCGCATTTGCAGCAGTTCAGCAAGGGGAACAGGGTCTGGAACAACACTCCCACCTTCTGGGCCATCTCTTTGTTGCAACAGAAAATTTAGCAGCTATCTTGTAGAAAAATTTTCCCATCAAGCCAACATCACATCCTGTTTTCACTTGCTGCTGTGCACCAGGAAGGAATGCTTGCAGGATAGGACAGAGGCACACTTTACAACTTCATGCCAAGAAAGTCTGACATCGGGGTCACAACCCCTCCTGGCTGTGGGAGCCAGCAATGCTTAGCACCGATGCCCTCCTTGTGCAGCTGGAACCTCGGCTGGATGGGCTCAGGTGTAAGCATCTGAAGAACAACTTTCTCTACATCAGAACTTTCCCTTGGAGAAGGCAGACCATGAGGAGGTCAAACACAGGAGTCATTTCTGTTCCAACCTGTGCTCTTTGGAGGGCTGAGTATGTCAGAGAGAGGATTAAATAGATGTGTCAACATGAATCAGAGAGAGGCTATTCGCATGACTGAGTCATCCTAAAGACAGTGATTCTTGGATCAGATGGATGACTTGCTTTGCCTTCGTCAATCACAGCCAGTCATCATAATCACTATCACAAAAGCAAGGGTACGTAGTATCTACAAAAGGCCTTATTTAATCGCATAACATATATAAACTTTTTGCAATGACAGAAAAGCCTGGCAGAGGCTGTAATAAGAACAGAAACTGCAAGACTGCTCAAGTTTAACTTCTGCTTTTACATACAGTCTTTCAAAGCATCCTTCCCTTTCTTCTGATGATTTATTTCTGCTGGTCCCAAATATTTCCTCCATTGAGATATAGAACTTTAAAAGCTCCTTGCCGTGTAATACAGGTAGCAGAGGCCTTGCATCCTGAGGAAGAGGAACAAGATTCATACTTGGCTTGCTCCACTCTTCTACATCAAGAATGTAAGAGACATGTTAGCTGGAGGTGGGTAATTATAAAGACAAAACATCGCAGAGCCAAGACAACCTCCTCGGCTTTGGCTAGCAAGTAACAAGTTCTGCACAGATGCAGAGTTTCTCTGCAAGTGTGGTGTTGCTTGTTGATGAAGAGGCACGTCTCCTACATCCCATCTCAAACAAGTTGAGGACAGGGCCAGTTCTATGTTCTGAACACTGAGCTGCAGAAAGACTGGAGCCGCAAGAATTGCTGGCACATTGTTTAAGCTGTCCCGAAGTATTCTCTCTCAAATTTACGGAAATCTTCCTCAGTGAAGACAGTGCCTTCAGACTTCTTCTTTGTCTTCTTCTCTGGAGGCCGGTCTTTGGATTTCCTGCCTCTGTTCTGGGTAAGAATCTTCAGACGAGAAAAAGACAGCCACTGTTGTTAATCTAGACCACACATGGGAAT